CCTTACTATAACACATTTTTCTATTCCGAATATCCATAAAATATAATTTTTTCGCTGATTAAATACAGTAAAAATAGTTTCATTTTACAGACGAACTCTTAAAAGAATATATTACCATTTGTAAAAGTATAGATTTCTGATGTGTATGAGACAAAGTGTAAATTAATACTTTTTAAATGATTTTAGTGATCTGTAATGTGTAATTTTTCTAAAAATTGCTTTTACATTTTTGCATTTCTGCAAATAGTTCTTTAAAGAACTTCCCAAGTTGCCACAAAGAACCATCAAAAAATGGTTCCCTTAGGTATATTTAAAACAAAAAATATAAGAATTCGTAGCGCTTCCATTACAATACTTTAAATATTTTAGACTCTGGAGTGTTGATTCAACAGAACTACATGATATTTTATGGAGCAAATGATTCATCATTAAAGAAAATAGTCGTTAGTTGCAGCTCTAATTTCACGCCACCAAACCCAATAACTCCAGTAAAAAAAAAAGGCACCTTCAGTTCTTTGAAGAACCAGAGAGCCTTCAGACGTTTTTTTTTTTTTTTTCCTGACAGTGTCGAAGAGAACATGCATCTGCACACAAGTGTATTTTTAGCCTTTTTTCTTTTTCCCTCAGTGGAATGTAAGGAAAAGAAAATGTGCGGTAAAAGTCAGCGCAGCCGGATTTCCATTGCATGAATCCGTGTGGTGAGAGAGGAAGACGAGGTGGAAGGGAGGAGAGGTGAGCCGAGGAGAATGGAAGGAAGGAGAAAGAGGAGTGGACGAATGGAAGAGTAATACCTCCGAGTGGTCGTATTTATAGGAGGTTACGATGCCCTGCTTCCGCTGGTTGTGTGGCCACGACGGACCTGCGGGGTCACGGGTGTGTGTTTGCGTGTCGGTTATGTATCGGTGTGAAGAGGAAAGGTGGGATTTTGTGGGGGGGCTGATGTTGTCTAGACATGGTCACCTCTGGCCCGCAAACATAAAAACACTCACTGCCAGCAAAACCACAGAGTCTGAGGAAACACAAAGGAGTCAGGATTTCAGAATACTGGTTTTAGTTAACCCATGGCTGGTGGGTTTGAAAGGCATGTTCAAGAACTGCCGGAATTCCACAGTTTATCAGAGCCAGAAGCTGTCAAAACAGATGGCTTTTGTTATTTTATTTTACCGTAGTCTTTGAACTGAACGTCTGTGACATGAAGTTATGACGAGAAAATGAACCAAATCCAAGCTTAAAATCACGATATTTTATCAAAATTACTTTATTCTTCATGTTGCAATTTTAAACATTCTAAAAATTAAGCGTTTGCACAAATCAGATTAAGGTGAAAAATCAAAATGATCTTGAAATTTATATCTGAACTGCAGGAAGCATTCTATGGAGTGGTGAGAGTGCCAAATTACAAAAAGAAAATCAATAAAAGAATT